CTCCTCAACCTCCTCCTCCGCATTAACACAAACACACACACACACCCGCACTTTACCTCGAGATGGAAATGAGATGAACGAGAATAAAAGGATAGATTTTTAAAAAAGCACATACTCTGTCCATGCGAGACAACAGACCTGCCAACGCAACCAGAAGAAGTGATGCGAACACTGAACCATCCGAAGAGGGCTATCGGTCCCAACACATGGTCACCACATGAGACCAACTGGAATGATCTAAAAGACAACATCTTACAGGGTACCAGGACTTCACATACGAGCATAGGATTAGGGCACTTGTAGAAATGGACAAAAGAGGAGGCACATGGCCACTTTACGAATCCCTTACACACATTTTGCAATGCTGCAGGGTCGAATGCAAATGATTTTGGTGAAGATACAGGCTTACTTTTCATATTTTTCGTTCATAAGTAGAGCTTCGAGACTACCAGTCGTGTCATTGTGGGAAGATCCAGCAGCTTAAGCGAAATAGGGTCTATATCTTATCGTTTTTATTTATAAATAAATATAATATGTAAGATATGGCAGGACAGTCTTCTTGGTCTAGTGCTGTTGACTCGAGACTTTCACAAGAATGAGATACAGCTCTGACGATGTACATCATTTGCTGGACGAAAGCTCAGCCTGTTTTCGCCTGAAACCAGCGAGGATGTCTCAGGGACCGCGCCAACTTGAAGGTCGTGTTAAGGCCAAACGGCTGCAGTACAACGAGAATCTGTGGGATCGACCTTCAAATCTCTTCTTCATGCACTTTCATACGAAATAACAGTCTCCCCATGCATTTCTCTTTTAATCCAGTGTGTCTGTTTGTGCATAATTGTGTTGACGTATGTACGGAATGCCAGTCATGACTCGGATTAATTAGAAAAGATATGAAAGCTGTATCCACTCTCGTTTGTATAAGGTGATGAAGGAGTGGTAGTTTAATTTTCCCACAATCTGTTGTTTAGGCCTAGGGTGAATACAGCTCTACTCTATCAATACTTGGTCTCTATAGCCTACATATCAAACGAAATATAAATGGGCAAGAGTTTAAAATCAGCCTCGGATCATAAAGGCTCAAGTATCCAAGGAAATGTATGACGTAGAAAGCGTTAGTCGGTAGGTAACCCCGGTTAAATTAGTGTGATGTAGGTCTGCGCTTGCGAAAGTCAGGCTGTGAGACCCCCAATTCTAACCGGATGGTCTGGGGAGTGATTACGGTTTAATTACCCAATCAAAAGGTAGACTGAAATTGCGTAATCTCGTACGTTCGGTTTGGATGATGAGCTGAACAGGTCAGTTGAACGAGTGTGCATTTAGTCGGTAGATCGTCTCGAAAAGGACGAAAACTGGAAAACTCCGATGGAATTATGTGTTATGGCGTTGGATCGGTGCAACCTCCGATTGCAGCAGGCACACCAGCAGACTTTTATTCGACAAAAGCAATTCAGTCTCTGTCACCAAAAGGCATGAATGCGTGATGAAGAAAATCTGTATTTCGAAAAATTGCTTGGCGCCCTATTGTGACATGACTTTCCGTTTTGAAGGACAAGTTGTTTGGAAGAAATTCGTGATGCCGTCGCACTGGCAACCGACGGAGGATTGTCTCAAAGTGCAGTGAAGATTGGCGGATTGTGCGAACGATTATTGTCGCCCCGATCGACATGTGCTGAGCTTTTGTCTGTTTCGCGTTGACACACGTAATCAGAGCAAGACTCCATACTTTACGAAATAGCTCGAAAATCTACGAAACGAATTTAATGTTATGAGATGTGTTCACCCTATTTGCTTGAAGATGATGAACAACTGGTAGCTGAATTTTGCCACAATCATATGAATAGAGCCCCGCTTTCCTAAAAGGTGTGCTCATCACGGCTGAAGTCGAGTGCAGTTTCGACTTTTCCCAGGTCTTGCCAACACCCCCAGCGAGATGAGAACACCCTTTTGCAAAGCAAGGCTATGCGAAATGGAATGGGAACGTCAGTTCTTCTCATATGATTTTGGGAAAATTTTAATTTACCGATCCTCCATCACAAAATACGGTGAACACACTTCATATATATGATTTACTGGTAGTCTCGAAGATCTATTCAATAACGAAAAAAGATAATATTATACTTTTGAACTATTTACTAAAGTATGTATTCTTGCTCTGATAATGTCTGCCGCAGAGGTACAGACGAACCTTGACCACAAATAAATCGTAGTTAAGGACTTGTTCGCAAAATGCAATAGTCTTCACTCCTCTTCAAGACAATCCTCGTTCGGTTGTCGTGGCGACCACGTAATGAATTCCTTCCAACCAAGCCATCCTTCGAGAGGGAGAGTCATGTAGTGCTTGCACTGTTCGTCTGCTTCGGTGATGCGGCGACATCTGATGAAGTCGAGCCGGCTATTCGTGTTGCCCACATCAATTCGCCGTCTGGCCAACTTGCCCAACAACGGGCCCGACAACCATGTCAAGTCCACGTGAATACACAAACACCGAGGCCTCCACACACCGAGTGGGAAGAGCGAATAGAAAGAGGCAAGTGGATTTCTCATGCACAATATGCAGGCTTCCATTAAAAAGTGTTACTATGCAGGGAAAATGTATTGATTCCTGAAGACTGTTTAGTATAGTACCAATTTGCAATGCTGGCCGGCCAGCTGTCAGCTTCCGAAAATAACTGATTTTGGGTATTTTTAGATAATTTCAATCTGCCTACGCGCCTACGCACAAGCATGCACTCACTCCTGCAATATGGTACAATAACGAATATTTATATTTTCTCGTCAACTATGAACTAATGAGGATATGAAGACCAAGTTGTTGTGGTCTCCGGTATGGTCGCAACTTGGTCTTGTTGTCATGGCGACTTAGTAGAATGTACATAGTCCGAAATCGTCTGCTGATGATGT